GCGGCGTTCGAGGGTGCTCGTGGTGGCGGTGTGTGGCGTAGGCATAAGAGGCGGCGGCATTTCTCAACCCAAAGGGGTATGGGGGCGGTGCCGTCTCCAGATTCTCGCTCCGCCGGGGCGGCTCTCGAGGAGTGGTGGGGCGGAGCTGGACGGCCCTGGCATCGCCTCGTGCCATAGAGCAAGTCTCCTTTGTCCAAGCTCGAGCTAGACAGGTCCCAGCCGGGGACCTGTGCCAACAATTTGGTCGTAGGATATCGGCGGGGATGGCGTGTCGCCCCGGATTCAGCGTAGCGTTAGGGGTGCCTTGTTCGTCTTTGTGCTTGGCGAAGCGAGGCGAGCCGCCGCCGGACGCGCGCCGCGCTGAGGCTGCCAGGCGTAACTTCATCGTTGGTTGGTGGGGCTCGAGGGGTGAGGAGCACCATGTCGTACTCATGCCCTAGAGACATGAACTCTAGGCTCCCGAACCAAACCACGGTCTTAGAGAGCGCGCAATGGTCATACGGGTACGCCATCCGGAACTTCTTTGGGATAATGAAACCGACCTTGCGGCCCCCTACTGGGCATAGTATGTCGGTGTTTCGGACCGGGGTCCTCAACCAACGAGTGAATTTGTTCTGCGTGCTCCCGATCCGGATGGTGATGCAAAGAGACACAAGGTTTATCTTGGTTCGAGCAATCGAGGCCCTACATCCGGTCGAGAGATCGATCTTGTATTCCTTGCACCGAGGTGCTCATAGTAGTAGGGGTTACAAGCTAAAGGAGAGAAGGAGGCTGGTCCTAGGTCTCGGTAGGGTGCCGTCTTGGGCCGCTTGAGGCGTTGCTCTCGGTGGCGAGTGTGATGTGCGTGTGTGTGTGTGTGTTACAAGGTGTCTCCCCCTTAAAACAACCCAGGTCCTCTCCTTTTATAGCATGAAGGGAGGACTAGGGCGGTACATGAGTGACTATCTGGCGTCGTGTGAAGCAGGCGGCATGTCGAGCCCTGTAGCCTGTTCTGTGGTGGTGTGGCCGTCGGAGTGGTCCATCCTTGGAGCACTAGGGCGGCGTGGCCGAATCCTGCTCGAGATCTGTCGCGTCGTGGGAGCCCCGGGACTGCCTCGGAGTGGGGCATGGCGGTGGGCGTGCAAGCCATTGTGGGACGGGATTGCGCGTGAGGCCGAGACTTGGTCGGTGTGAGGCTGCACCATGGTGGAGGGTCTCGGCGAGCCACGATCCCCAAGATGGCCGAGACCTTGGTGTACTGGTGCGAGAGGCCTCGAGTGGGCGGTGATCGTGGAGTGCAGTGTTAGGACACGATGGCGGTAATTCCCGCCGTACCTGTCCCTAGCCGGTATGGCGCGCGATCGTGAATCTGATGTTAGGACACGGTGGGCGGTAATCCCGCCGTACCTGTCCCGGCCGGTATGGCGTGGACATGATCACGACCTTAGGTCGCGTCGGCCATTCTATGGCGTTGAGCCGTCGTCCGTTGAGAATGCGGGAGTGGTTGAAGCATTAATGGGACATGACACGTTATGCGGAGGGTCGGTCGAGGCGGGGGTGACGGGCTGCAGGCGACCCGGCCTCGGCGACACGGAGAATGAGGCCTCGCGAGGCGGAGATCGGGTTCCTTGCCGAGGCCTTGTGAGGCGCCTCACGCGCGATCACGGAGAATGTACCCTGCCGAGGCCCTCCACGGAGAGCCTCGGGCGAGGCGAGACGGTCGGCGCCCCTGCCGAGGCCTACCCTAGGGAGCCTCGCGCGAGGCGTAGTTTGTTCGGGACCTCCTGCTCGAGGCTCGAGGCGAGGTGGAGGAGGGCTTGGTCGTGACAGGTGAGGGGCCCACGGTTTACCTTCTAGCTTTATTTTGATGTTTGCTTGGGGTACCCGTTCTAAGGTACCCGACACATAGTGTCTTGGTAGCCAATGACAGTTCATGGTCGGCATCGCTAGTATGTGCTCGACAACGCTAGTGAGTGGTCGGATAACTCCGTACCGGAGATCCAGGGGCTAACAGGCGAATTGATATGCCGTCACCAATAATTGTCGCTCCAACAGGGGCGCACAAATTAGCAACTCCAGAAGGTACAAAAGCTCAAACTCATCGAAGTTTTGAATGATAGAATATGTCATCTGAGGATTGGTGCTATACATTCAGAGTTTCCCTTTATATTTCATCAGCTGAATAGCTGTAATAACGTTGTAAAAAAATCATGGCTGTGTGCGGCTGCAGAGGCCGGAAACAATTCCATTTTCTTAAAAAAAGCAGGATTGGTGCCTTCTCCACAAACTCTTGGTTAAATTCTCATTTCAGGGGAGGTGGCCACAGCGAGAGCTGCAGCAGCATGTAGCACCGTAATGGTAACTGCTGAAAATTTTCTTTTAAGGGTCATCTAATGATGTACTCATTTTTATGCCCTTTGTAGATTCTGGCACATTTTAGGGGGTGTTCGGCTGGTATGGTTGTGGGGGAATTTGGATGGTTTGGAGGAATTCTGGAGGAATTTGTGAGAGAAAAATACTGTTTCGGATGAAAAAAGAAGCGGATCAAGCCGAGTTTAAGGGCACGCGACATGTTCTGTCATTCTCATCCAGCTGCAAGATGGAGGAGGTTGCTTCCAGCTGTGACGTACGCCATCCGCTTCTATCAGTTACATGTATGTATGAAGCCCCTCTTTCCGTGGCCACCTGACTTCTACAATTTTCCTTTTGTGTATGTACCTAATAAGGTGTACAAGAGAAGGGATGTTTCAGCAACATTGGTGTAGCGAGCTGACAGTTGACACGCCTGTGCTTGGTAGGCATGAAGCTGACATCAGAAACAAGTACAGTGCTGATCAGAGTGATTTTGTTTCTCGAGATCTCCTGAAGTTCAGCGAAACTATGTTCTTTGCAAATCATATTTCAATAGTTACGCAATGCTACTGAATGCTAAAATTTCATAAGCTATATCTTCCCGTGTCATATCATGATCCTCAATCATGTACTTAGAGCATTTCAATAGCTTGAACATCACAACGTTGCAAAAAAAAAAAAAAAAAAAAAAAAAAAAAAAAGAAGATCCCTCTTCTTTTATTAGTGATTCTGTGTGCCTGAGCTGGCTGTTCATCCAGGATGATCGCTCCAGTGTCCCCAAACCTTGAAGGTCTAATGTCATTCGACGACGATCTTGACACTGTGAGTGTAACATTTGCTCGATAATACAAGTGGTCCATCAGAAGTACAAAAGCTTGTTCAATCATAGTGGGTCGTCTCCATTATCTAAAATAGTTACTCTGTCTGTTTCCTTTCTGAAAGACTAAACCACTGTCATCTTGATGATAACCCAGGACCAGGAGGAAGGCGGCTCCAAGCTGGAACGGCGGCATCGTCGTGGAAGGTACTGTACGTAGAGCGCAGCGCAACCGGTGGCCGTGCCATAAATCTCTTGAACCTTGAATGCCCTAGCATGTGCGAGCGCCCGCCCCCATGCGCAGTGTACTAGTACTTGGCAAGCATACGGACCAGTTATGGGCGCCAAGGACGCGTCCGCGTCAGGCACCAGGTCGCTATACCGGATACTGAGAGCCTGCTCTGTGATCAGCTGGGAGCAGCATATGGCTCTTAACATGCTGCCATAAAAACGGAGCTGCCATTAGGACACTGATGACATTGGCTGCCTGCTGCGGCCTTGAATCGCAGTACCGGTGGCCATGCGTCCATGCATGGCGTGATGGCCTGATGGGCCGGGTGCAGTAGTCTTGCCGGCCGGCGGGGCAATTATGTGGCGTGTATGGTGGTTGATGGCGTGCGTTAGTTTGTGTCCCTGAATTTGTGTGTGGTTGGTTGCAGAGCATGGGTGGCTCAGGTCCGTAACCTGGCTGCCCATCCTGCTCAAGGACTTCCGTCGGTAATGAAATCACTTCACTACGTATCAGCGTTGAATTGCTGAGTGACGAGATGCTGATAATCGGCACACTGGAAAATGGTAATTTCCTATATTGGTCACTGACTGAACTCTGACTCTGCGGCGGCGGCGCTGGACAGCCAGGAAGGCCGTGCAGGCAGGGGAGCCCGGCGCGATCGTGTCCAACCACGGCGCCCGGCAGCTGGACTACGCCCCGGCCACCATCTCGGTGCTCGAAGAAGTAGCAGACGGCACGGACGTTCCCACATGCAAACACAGCGCATGGACTTTCGCAACGTGCGGTGATCAGTTGCACGATGCGTCTCGAAAGCTGACAGCGTTCGGTGATCAGTTGCACGATGCGGCTCGAAAAGCTGACAGGGGATTACCATCGACGGGCGGCGCTACATTGCAGGTGGTTAAGGCGGTGGCGGGGCCGTGCCGGTGCTGGTGGACGGCGGCGTCCGCGGGGGCACCGACGTGTTCAAGGAGCTGGCGCTCGGGCACCGCAGTCATGGTAAAGCAACAACTCCAGGTCACTCAAGATGGAACCGTGGCAAATTCTGATGAGGATGAGCGCGGGCGTCTGCAGGTGGGGAGACCGGTGTTCTTCGGGCTGGCGGCGCGTGGGGAGGCCGGCGCGAGGCACGTGATCGAGATGCTCAACGAGGAGCTAGAGCTGGCCATGGCGTTCTGCGGCTGCCGGAGCGTGGCGGAGATCACCAGGCGGCACGTCCAGACCGAGGGCGACCAGATCAGAGCCCTCTTGTAAACCTGAGGCATTACCTGTTGTACCAGAACCTTCATCAGCTTTCAGCGAAACTGAACAACAAATCTTTGGTGCGGTGTCCGGTGTACCACATTACAACATTGACAAACCCACAAAAAGCAAGCTGGCGAGACACTTGCTGCAACGAAGAGCATACAGTTCACAAAATACGCTTAAAACAGAGCTATCCATTTGGGATAATAGAAAGGGGCCTGATTCACTCGCTGTCTCAGCTGAGTCAACAACACAAAATTGATTCTCATCTAGTAGCACGTAAAGAGTTCAATGCTACTACTCAAGCAGTGTCTACCAACAAGTTCTGATGATAACTAATATATGCCATCAACCATGCTGATTTACTCTTTACCCCTAGTTGGGGGCAGGTGCCGCATCAGGGGGCGGCGCCTTGTTCCCATCCGGTGGCTGCTGGAGGAGCCGCAGCTGCATCCCAGACACCATCAGCAGGAGGAGCTGAAATTCACATGGGGAACTGTAAGAGCCACAGGTGTATGAAACTAAACAAAACAGATAATAAAAATAGAAGAAACAAGCAAATGTGAACAAACATTATTGAGTATACTCTATAGTGATCTAAAGCTTCCTCACAGTTACCCATAAAATCCTATATAATGAGACTAAACAAGCAGATAACCAGGTAATAATAAAAGTAAAAGAAACAAGCAAATGTGATCAAACATTATTATGAGAATAGTAAATCTAAATCTGTAAAGATTTAAAGCTTCAACACGGTTACACATTAAAACCTATAGGTCAAAGGGCAACTTGTGATAAAAAAAATCGTTTGCATTTTAAGCCACGCTAGAAAAACATATCAAAGATTCATCAGCCTGTTCGGCAAGCTGTATCTGCCTATATCTGGCTTGGCTTATCAGCCAGCCAACAATGTTTTCCTCTCACACCAAACCAGCCAGCAGCACTTTCAGCCCATAGCTTATAAGCCAATCCAGCCGAAACGAACATGCACCTTCTAGCTTTAGAAACACAGCAAGCTACTTCTAGGCACACAGAAGGTAGAATAGAGCATTAACTATCAATAAATTGAACATTGTACCCTAGAAAAACTAAGCATGTGTAAACAGAATACTACTACAAAGATTAGAATGAATCGTCTTCAAATGCAAATCATATTACTATGAGAAGATAAACTGGACCTGGAGCAGCAGCCCAGTCTGCACCAGCAGCAGGAATGCCAGCAGGTGGAGCTGCAGCTTCACCAGCACCCCAATCGGCGCCCCAGTTGTCAGCCCCTGGAGCAGCATATTCTGCAACTGCGCCATAGTCAGGAGCAACCAGAGCCTCTTCTTCCTCCTGCTCCTTTGCTTCCTCCGGGTCTCTGTAGAAGAACAGATCAACCTGCAAAAGAGAAACAAGCATACGATTCAAGAAGCGACAAAAAGTAAATGTTTTGTTTATTCAGGTCAGAAATTGTTGGAATGAAACTAGTTCAGATTATATCAGTTTACCATGATGTCCCACTTGTGTCCTGGAAGAATTGTACCACGCATCTGGAGGACCATTCTGGCAAGCAGCCAGAACAGACAACCAATGCTCTGTTTCCCCTTGTTATTGGCAGGAATGCCAATATCAACATAGCGCATAGGAGAGTCAGTGTCGCAGAAGGCAATGGTGGGAATGTTTCCAAGTGCAGACTCCTTAATGGGCTGTGCAAAGTTTGATAAAGAAGATTTGTAAGTGCTCTGAATCAACAAAGTTTTTCCTTCAGCAGATATAAGTTTACCTGATGATCAGTCCTGGGGTCAGTCAGGATAAGAAGGCGCGGCTCACTGAATGAGGTTTGCAACTGGTTGGTGAATGTACCAGGAGTGTGCCTGCCGGCAATGGCATGAGCACCAGTGTACTGCGCAAACTTGAGGACAGCCCTCTGACCATAGGGCCTAGCGGACTGTACTATAATATCTTGAGGATTTTCAATTGCAACGATGACCCTCGCAGCCAACTGTAGCTTCTCCCAGGTCTTCCCAAGGTTAATAATGTAGATACCTGAAGGATAATATACAACAGCACTATTGTTAATTCACAGTTCACCATTGTCAAATGACAAAAGGGATTGGACAGCATAAGCAACTTGAGTTAGCACTGAACTACAGGACGTTCTTCACATTGATTTCAGTGAACAAACATAGCAACATAGACACATGATGTTCGATATCAGTCAATTGATCCTATAATTTTGATAGAATCTAGTCTGAACCAATCCCACAGCTCATATTTATGGTATGACATTGAGAAGAATAGCACTTGTAATGTCGCAGCAAGACCTTACACGTATGTGTATCACACTCACTCCAGAAACCCTCCAAATCTTCATGCTAGACAAATCCTCAAGACCATACTGGAGAAATAATACTAAAAGTAGACGACGCACATATGTGTATCACACTGATACCAGAAACCCTTAACAACTAGAAATTACATACACATACGTGTATCACACTGACACCAGAAAACCTTAACTAGAAATTACATACGTATGAATCAATATCTGTCGACTGAAACTACGCGCCAATATTTCTCAATTGAACTACAATCGCAGCCTAATATCTGCATGCGCATAGCAAGATCCCAACAGATCTATAACTAGATATGCAATACAAGACGCGTTCGATGTAAACATTTGGTTAGTTTAGAGAGAATTGGACTTATACCATCAGTGCGGCGCTTGTATACGTAGCGCTCCATCTGGAAGTCGCAGTTCTTGGTGCCGAGGTGGACGTCGGCGGCGAGCATCATCTGGATGTCCTGCTCCCGCTGCGACAGCGCCCGCGCGCCGCCGCCGCCTGCCGGTGCCGCCGCCATCGTCGCCGCCGAAGTTTAGGGTTTCTGACGGCTGCGCCGTGCGGTAGAGAGCTGGAACAGGGAGGTGGCGGCGCGAGGCAGAGGTCGCGAGGTGGCTGGTGCTCTCAGCTTTTATGTGGGCTGGGTCATCACGTATGAAAACCCTAGGTCGTGATGTCCTGCGGTTTTGCTTTACGGGCCTTCTTTCTGGGCCTTTTGGGGTGGGCGATGGACCTTGTAGAATGTAGGCCCACCACTCTTCTGGTGCACTGCAAATGGTAATACGAAACTCCATGTAGCGCCTGGGATCCGCGCTTCAACAGCCATCCTAATCCTAATTCCTGTTTATGTACGGTGTCTCCAATCCCTGCTAGCCACGTCGTTTGCTCTCCAGCTCCTGTGACCGGCTGAGACGGACGTGGGCCGGTCCCGTTCCTGCGCTAGGCCATTACAGGTGCCGGTCTCAAGGTACTATGACCGGTGGGGGCGGGCGAGCCCAGGACCCCGTTTCTATGCTGGCCACCTCCACCTACAGTCGTGCATGTGTATCCCTCCATTTCCTATTCCCTGATTCTACGGGCCCTCCTTAGCTCTAGCCCATTTTCAGTTGCCCTACCCATTCTCCCAGTTGCCGCATCGTAGCCGTTGTCGCCACGCTCGGAGGCTCGCTTCTCCGAGCGCCGCACCGCACGGGCATGGGGCATCAGCCTCGCCGCATCCGTCGCCTGCGTTTTTATTACCTATGGTCACTGACTGAACTCTGACTCTGCGGTGGCGGCGTTGGATAGCCAGGAAGGCCCCGGAGGCAGGGGCGGCGGGCGTGATCGTGTCCATCCACAGCGTCCGGCAGCTGGACTACGCGCCGGCCACCAACTCGATGCTCGAAGAGGTAACACACAGCACGTACGTTCGCACATGCAAACACAGCGAATGGACGTTCGCAACGTGCGGCGATCAGTTGCGCGATGCGGCTCGAAAACTGACAGGGGGATTGCCATCGCCGGGTGGCGCTGCATTGCAGGTGGTCAAGGCGGTGGCGGGGGCCGTGCCGGTGCTGGTGGACGGCGGCGGCCGGCGGGGCACCGACCTGTTCAAGGCGCTTGCGCTCGGCGGCGCCGCAGTCATGGTAAAGCAACTACTCTAGGTCACTGCCTGCTCCAGAGATGGAACCGTGGCAAATCCTGACGAGGATGAGCGCGTGCATGTGCGTTTGCAGGCGGGGAGGCCCGTGTTCTTCGGACTGGCGGCGCGCGGTTCCGCGGTGAGGCCAAGGTGAGGCACGTCATCGAGATGCTGCACGAGCTCTGGCCATGGCGCACAGCGCCTGCCTCAGCGTGGCGGAGATCACCAGATGGCACGTCCAGACCAAGGGCGACCAGATCAGAGCTCTGTTGTAAGCCTGTGGCTGTGGCTGGCAATACCTTTGTACCAGAAACTTAGCTTCATCAGCTTTCAGGGAACCTGATCAATAAATCTTGGGTGCGGTGATACAACATTGACAACTCAGAGATTTAGATGCCACGACAAGCAAGCAGGCGAGACAATTGCTGCAACGAAGAGCATACAGTTCACAAAATACGCTTAAAACACAGCTATCTATTTGAGATGATAACAAAAAGGGGCCCGATTCACTCGCTGTCTCAGCAGAGTCAATAACACAATTGATTCTCATCTAGTAGCACGTAAAAACTTCTAAGCTACTACTCAAGCAGTGTCTACCAACAAGTTCTGATGATGACTAGTATAAGCCACCAGCCATGCTGATTTACTCTTTACTACCAGTTCGGGGTAGGTGCCGCGACAGGGGCAGCGCCTTGTTCCCATCCGGTGGCTGCTGGAGGAGCCACAGCTGCATCCCAGACACCATCGGCAGGAGGAGCTGAAATTCACATGCGTAATTGTAAGCGCCACAGGTGTACTAAACTAAACAAGCAGATAACCAGGTAATAATAAAAGTAAAAGAAACAAGCAAATGTGATCAAACATTATTATGAGAAGAGTAAATCTATAAAGATTTAAAGCTTCAACACAGTTACACATTAAAACCGATAGGTCGAAGGGCTACTTGTGACAAAAAAAAACGTTTGCATTTTAAGCCACGCTAGAAAAACATCAAAGATTCAGCTCAAATCACCATCTAGCTTTAGACACACAGGACAAATTAAAGAAAGACTACAATTGATGAATACAATTTAAGGTACGAACCTAAATATCTAATACCCAATCATGGTATTAATTTTTAATTTGTAGGTGAACTAACATTTTAATATTGTTAACTAAAGAGGGACATCCAACACGCCCATATACTGCACAAAGTCAACTAAACTAGGACATAAAACAAACAAAGAAAAACAACCAACCATAGAATCAAACTAATGTTACATCGTTAGTTGTGCCACGACAATCTCTTTGATTCATGCCAATACAAATCTATACACGTGGGTAACTCTGGATTCAAATCAAAGTCACAGATTTCTATTGCTTAAGTATCTCAAAGATAGTCCTTCTAGGCACACAAAAGGTATAATAGAGCATCAACTATCAATCATTTAAACATTGTACTCTAGACAAACTAGGCATGTGTAAACAGAATACTCCTACAAAGATTAGAATGTCTCGTTTTTAAATGCAAATCACATTATTATGAGAAGAGTAACTGTACCTGGAGCAGCAGCCCAGTCTGCACCAGCAGCTGGAATGCCAGCAGGCGGAGCTGCAGCTTCACCAGCTCCCCAATCGGCGCCCCAGTTGTCAGCCCCTGGAGCAGTATATTCTGCAACTGCGCCATAGTCAGGAGCAACCAGAGCCTCTTCTTCCTCCTGCTCCTTTGCTTCCTCCGGGTCTCTGTAGAAGAAAAGATCCACCTGCAAAAGAGAAACAAGCATATGATTCAAGAAGCGACAAAAGGTAAATGCTTTGTTTATACAGGTCAGAAATTGGTAGGAATGAAACTAGTACAGATTATATCAGTTTACCATGATGTCCCACTTGTGTCCTGGAAGAATTGTACCACGCATCTGGAGGACCATTCTGGCAAGCAGCCAGAACAGACAACCAATGCTCTGTTTCCCCTTGTTATTGGCAGGAATGCCAATATCAACATAGCGCATAGGAGAGTCAGTGTCGCAGAAGGCAATGGTGGGAATGTTTCCAAGTGCAGACTCCTTAATGGGCTGTACAAAGTTTGATAAACAAATCTGTAAGTGCTCTGAATCAACAAAGTTTTTCTTTCAACAAATATAAGTTTTTTACCTGATGATCAGTCCTGGGGTCAGTCAGGATAAGAAGGCGCGGCTCATTGAATGAGGTTTGCAACTGGTTGGTGAATGTACCAGGAGTGTGCCTGCCGGCAATGGCATGAGCACCAGTGTACTGCGCAAACTTGAGGACAGCCCTCTGGCCATAGGGCCTAGCAGACTGTACTATAATATCTTGAGGATTTTCAATTGCAACGATGACCCTCGCAGCCAACTGTAGCTTCTCCCAGGTCTTCCCAAGGTTAATAATGTAGATACCTGAAGGATAATATACAACAGCACTATTGTTAATTCACAGTTCACCATTGTCAAATGACAAAAGGGATTGGTCGGCATAAGCAACTTGAGTTAGCACTGAACTACAGGACGTTCTTCTCATTGATTTCAGTGAACAAACATGGCAACATAGACACATGATGTTCGATATCAGTCAATTGATCCTTTAATTTTGATAAAATCTAGTATGTATGTTGTCTCAACATAGCAGGTCCCAAGCCCTGGTAAAGGAGGAGGGTTGTGATAGGCGTGGCGAGCCAACGTTAAATCTAGCCATTCTAATGGAGATGAAACCCTAGTATGAACCAATCTAACAACTCATGGATGGTATGACATTGAGACGAATAGCACTTGTAATGTCGCAGCTAGACCTTACACGTATGTGTATCACACCCACTCCAGAAACCATCCAAATCTTCATGCTAGACAAATCCTCAAGACCATACTGGAGAAATAGTACTAAAAGCAGACAACGCACATATGTGTATCACACTGATAACCAAGAACTACAAATTACATACATATGTGTATCACGCTGATACCAGAAAATCTCTACTAGAAATTACATACGTATGAATCAATATCTGTCGACTGAAACTACGCGCCAATATTTCTCAATTGAACTACAATCGCAGCCTAATATCTGCATGCGCATAGGAAGATCCCAATTGATCTATAACTATATCAAATACAAGACGTAGAGAGAATTGGACTTATACCATCAGTGCGGCGCTTGTATACGTAGCGCTCCATCTGGAAGTCGCAGTTCTTGGTGCCGAGGTGGACGTCGGCGGCGAGCATCATCTGGATGTCCTGCTCCCGCTGCGACAGCGCCCGCGCGCCGCCGCCGCCTGCCGGTGCCGCCGCCATCGTCGCCGCCGAAGTTTAGGGTTTCTGACGGCTGCGCCGTGCGGTAGAGAGCTGGAACAGGGAGGTGGCGGCGCGAGGCAGAGGTCGCGAGGTGGCTGGTGCTCTCAGCTTTTATGTGGGCTGGGTCATCACGTATGAAAACCCTAGGTCGTGATGTCCTGCGGTTTTGCTTTACGGGCCTTCTTTCTGGGCCTTTTGGGGTGGGCGATGGACCTTGTAGAATGTAGGCCCACCACTCTTCTGGTGCACTGCAAATGGTAATACGAAACTCCATGTAGCGCCTGGGATCCGCGCTTCAACAGCCATCCTAATCCTAATTCCTGTTTATGGCGGCGAGCATCATCTGGATGTCCTGCTCCCGCTGCGACAGCGCCCGCGCGCCGCCGCCGCCTGCCGGTGCCGCCGCCATCGTCGCAGCCGAAGTTTAGGGTTTCAGACGGCTGCGCCGGGCGCTAGAGAGCTGGAACAGGGAGGTGGCGGCGCGAGAGGTCGCGAGGTGGCTGGTGCTCAGGTTTTATATGGGCTGGCTCGTCAAGAATGAAAACCCTAGGTCGTGATGTCCTGCGGTTTTGCTTTACGGGCCTTCTATCTGGGCCTTTTGGGGTGCGCGATGGACCTTGTAGAATGTAGGCCCACCTTCTCTTCTGGCCCATGTACGCGTGACACTCTCATCTCCGGTCTCCGTTCTGTACTTTCTCTGGCCGATTCCACAATCCCCCGTCGCTCAGTCGCCCGTCAGACGCCAAACCAATCGCACCGGAGGGAGGAGCAACTCGCCGTCGGCCGTCGGCAGTCACCGGGCTATCCAGCCCAAGGCGACTCCGGACGCACCGCTTGCCGTACGATAAGCCCATCCGCCCGCCGTGCGGACTCGCGAGTTGCGACCCTAAGAGCTGACTGATTCTAGGCGTCATTTCAGAGCCCACCAACGCCGCCGCCGTCGCCGTCATCCAGTTCACCCAGGTCAGGGGATTCACCGCACCTCTAATCAACAGCCAACCGCGCCGCCTGATTGGCCTGGCCTCGCTTTTTCTCATAGTTGTGGCATCAGATGCGTGGACCTGCTTGTTCCAGCCAGATCAGGAATTGGTTTCTGTATAGATCGGGTGTGTTACGGTCGACTAGTTTCGAGCTCCTCGTTGTTCACTTTTTGGAGGAAATTACAAAGGATTGGACAAACAGTGTGTTGTGTTGCCTCTCTCTGTATGCACCTTCCTTTAAACTGGAATCGTGCCACAGTGATCCTCTTAAGATTGTGGATTTACTGACCTACCTAGTCATGCACTCTGAATTATGGAAACTGACAGGTTGTCAATTCCAGTTACGAACTTACAAATTTGTAGGTGATCAGTGAATGAATGCTTGAGGATTATGAAATGAGTTGTTTCTGAAGATGTTGTTTCTGACATTATTGTTCCTACATCCTAGATCTATTATCTCTATCTGCCTGGTGGTAGCAAATCTGCAAATGTGCTACTAGTTGCAACAGTATGCTCTGCTGACTGTCCCAATTATTCTAGGATATTATGAGATTGTAGTAGGATCCAATTTTAGACAGATGATGTGTCCTTGATGACTGTCATAACCTTTGTGCATACACAGCTTCCAAATGGCTAGTGAGGACTCAAAAGATATGCTGAAGAATGTGGACTGGAAGACTGTGGGCGGGGCAGTGACTACTGAATCTAGTCAACCAGTTGTCAAGAAGCGCCTTCCAAAGAAGATCAGACAAGTCCCTGAGTGTTATTTTCTGCCTCGGCGATCTTTGCCTTCAGCGCTGGCAATCTATGGTGCCGTGTGTGCTGCTGGAGTTGGTGCAGGAATGCTGATTGAGGTGTGGATAAACAAAAGATCAAAGGTACATGCCAGGAGAAATCATCAAATCACTCACTCTATTTTCTTAATGATTTACATTACCATCGTGTCTGGAAAACTTCGCATTTGCGTGTGTATTTTGCATAAAACTCTAATTCTTAATAGCTACTTCATTCATGCAGAGGATAGTGCTATTATCTGGGAGATGGATAAATGATGTGCAGTTGTGCACCACACTTTGATATGGTGGAACCATTTTCGGCACTACGATATTTGCTAGCTCTGAAGCTAAGAATTTCGTTTGTAGGATTCCTTCGTCTGTTGATTTTATTTTGAGTGAGGTATTGCAGGGATGGATTCGAGAATGGTGTTTAGAACTATGCTTGCCCGCCTGCTTGTGAGTCGGTTCTGCCACAATTCCATGTTGAAGCAAGAATCTGAGCCCTGACTGATGATGTCATGTAGCAGCTCCTGCGCTTAAACTATATATTAGAAATAATATAATTCTCTTTTCCGATGTAAATTGGCACATCCTTGTCTGTTTATTCCTGGTTTCGTTGTGCACGTATAAAGTATATGATGCTTGAAATCTAGAGCGGCCATTTTGTAGGCATAGTCACTACAGCACTTGTAAGAATCAATTCGAGTGTTTGCTTGGTGGTTGAGGTGGGTGCATTCTTGCCATGAAATCTGATTGATGCATGAAAAAACATTTGCTGTCTTGATTATCTACTCTTCTGTTGGATTTCAGTGTCTTATGTGTCGTACATTCGGTGCCTTTACTCTTACTCATAACAGGAGTACAGGACCCCAATGAGCAGCCTGTTCGTTTGTGGGTTTCAGTCAGGGCTTATCAGCTATGGTACAGTATTTTTCTCTCACAACAAACCAGCACCAGTCGGGCTTATCAGCTCAGAAACCAACCAGCGAACAGGCTCGAGATTGCATCGGATGAGCCAGATCGCTGCTTCAATATCAAGCAGCATACGCTTTCCTTTGTAGTATTTGAACATCACTTGCTGCCATCCACCGTGGACTGTTTGTATCACCGGTTCTTTTACCATACCTTGAGTAAATAAAAGCTTTCCCTACTGGAAATGGTGTAGCTCCACACAGCTCTATTCTCCTGCTAAATCAAATACTGTACACTCCAGTCTTCAGATGACTCCCTCCTCGGTCCCTCATAATGGCAACATAAGTATAGCATCTAGCACTTGCTTGTTTCAAGAGTCTAAGACCCTTTGATTTTTTTTATTTTTTTGGTCTGGTCTCATAGCTCTCAGTGCCCTTTTCTGATGGGTGATTTCCACATGTATGGTCCGTTGCATTTCTTCACACAGGACACAGCCGATGCCAATTGCCAAGTGTTTTTGTGTTACATACTTTTATATGCCGTGTGCTGCAAATGGGAGGTACAAGTACGACTTTGCACCTATTTTGTGATGGATATGAGACCGTGCACGCGTGAGTGGTTTGGTTTTTTGCAACAGTATATTGGTGCCCGCCGTTTTCAATAATGATACCCTCAGTGCGTCCATTGATGCAGCTTCGTGCTCCACTTTACCTCGTGCTCCGCGGCTGCTGCCCACTCATAAATGCAGCTTCGTGCTCTACTTTGCCTCGTGCTCCGTGCCTGCTATCCGCTCATGGATGCAACTTCGTGCTCCATGCTTGCTGTCACGCACATGGATACAGCTCTGTGCTCCGCGCATGCGGAGACCGTTGTGCCCAAGGGGACCACCTCCGCCTGCACCCCCTTGTCGCACCTGCTCATTGAACACTTGCACCATAAAGCATTTGCTGCAACATACATCCGCAACAGATTAAACATTTACAACATACGCTTGCAACATTGTGTATGGACACTGCAACATAAGCAACATCCAGATAAAACACTTGCAACGTTTGAAACAGTTGAAACATACACTTGCAAAACATACGCAACATCCAGATAAACACACTTGCAACATACGTAAAAAAAGATGAAACATTGAGAACAGAAGCCTGCAACATACGTGTACAACTATTACAACATATGCAACATCCCGATCTACTTTTGTAACATCTATCCGAAACACTTACAACATACCTCTGAAATATCTGAAACACTTGAAATGTACACTTGCAACATGCATTTTCACCCTTCTTTCGTGCGACGCAGAAGCGAGCGAAGGAACGGCGGTTCGATCACTGCGGCCGAGGATGGTGGCGCTGACTCGGCAGCATTGGCTGCGCTTCGCGCTCTTTGGGCGTGGCGGAGGATGGAGCACTGACGTGGTGGCGATGGGGACGGAGGCGCCGTTTGCGATCGCCGAAAACACGTGCATGGAGCTTGGAGGCAAGGGACGAGATGCCGACGACCGGGTCCAGCAAGCGATTGCTTGATCAAGCTAGTATGCGTACCTTGGCGGAGGATTCCTCCTCTCTCTGGGAGACGAAAGGCCCGCGGGGATGGCGAAGCGGCACGAGATAGTGGCGGTGGGTGGATGGGCGACAACATGGCGGTGGAGTAGGGTTTGTTTTTTTTATGATGAGAGGTCGAGAATTTTGTTTTTTTATGAGAGAGACGAACGGAGCCGAGTGGTGTTCCCTTATTATAGGACGTTTAGCTGCCCAAAATCTTCAGATATACTAATTTTCTAGAGTGAATGGAAAAAAAATTATTATCGTAGATAGAGGAAGGAAAGATATGAACAGTGTTGGCAGAAAAAAGCCCACCAAATCGAGCCCAAATAAGGTAACCGCGTATTGTTGGCCCATCGCTGCAGCACGTACTCGCGGCCCATCACGTGCCACCGCGTCAGCGTCTGAGGTGGGCCCACCATAACTCGTCAGGGCTGAGGCCGCGCGAGACGCCAGCTCGGACCTTTCCTCGTTCCTGTCACGGTGGGAAAGGAAAACCCAAAGCCCCTGATAACTTATCCCCAAATTAACCGGTAGCGGAAAGCCGGTCGATAACCTCCTCCGAATCCCATCTTCTGTTTTCTTCTATCTTCCCCCGCTGCCGTTGCCGGCGGAAGAAGCCAATCGACGCGATCCCCGCCTCCGACGCCAAGCCCAACCCCGCCGCCCGGAGCTGCATCCTCTCCTCTCCATCCCGTACCACGACGAGACGATCCCATCGGCTCCCGCGCGGTCCCTTCGATCCAAGCACGCGTAAGCCTCGCTGCTCATCTCTTACGTTTCTCCTGTGTGAAGGGGCGCTAGCTAGCTCCTCTGCCGCTCCGCCCGATTGCTGATTCGCCGTCTCCGCGCCGCGCTGCGCTTGAATTGATCGCCGTTCTGTTGGCTTGGTTGTCTCGCCTAGCCGGGTGATCGGCCGGTCTGCTTGCCTGCCCCATCTAATCTAGGGTTCCGCGGTTGCTGTCGCCTCAATCAGTCATTCGCGTACCTGTGCTTAGAGGTTAGGGTCCGCTGTCCACGACGTTGGGGGAGCACGTCCGCAATCATATCTTTTTGGGTAGCTATCTGGGTCATAGTTGATGTGGCTCGGTCGTGTCGTCCATCTGGGATTAGTTTCAGCTGGTTGATGCTTTTGTTTTCCACATGGCACATACATGTTGCATTGGTAGTTCATGGGTTGGTTCTGATGCTTAGTTTGGACTCGAAATACTGTTGCACTTGTCAAAACGATTATTCTTGAATTATGCACAATATATAATGTGATGGGGTAGAAAAAAAGATTTGCAGCAGCGTGACTGTTAGTATATGTTCGCTGAAAAAAAAAAAATTAGTTCATGGGTGCATGCATTCACGGAAGCAAACGACCAAGCACTAATTGATTAAAATACTCTAGAAGTAGGGTCCATGGTTTCAGCAAGCATATACTAACAGTTGCGCTTCTGCAAATCTTTTCTCTCCCATCACATTATATTGTGCATAATTCAAGAATAATCGTTTTTGGATAGCTAGGGTTGCGCTGCTGCAAATCTTTTTTTCCCCCCACTTTGCATCTCGTTCTAACAACTTACCTGCAATTACTTGCAGGTAGTCCCTTATTCCTACTATAACCTCTAGATGATTCCATGGGAACTCCAAATGAAATGACGGCGTACTCTTCCCTGTCCAAAATGGACACTGGCCAGAAGGAGCTGCTCTGTCCAATGTAGTTGCTGGAAACAACTATCTGGTTCAGGATTATCTTTATGAGCCAGCATTTGAACCAGACTTCCCAGAGTATGATTCAAGGGATGACCCGTTCGCTCCAACACGAGCTAGTCCAAAAGTCAATCTGAAGACTGTTCTAGGTGGGCTGGTTTCGATTGTCACGGTGTAAACAAGAGTGAGGATGATGCATCGCAGCAGGAAGGTTTCAGCACGGACATATCATTCCTTGGATCTGACAAGAATGGTGATGTCAATGTGCACCCTTCCGTCTGTGTTCCAAGTGCCCCACCACTACTTGAAGCGAATGCTTTACAATATAGTGCATACAGGGAGGTGTTGCTTGCAGATCCACCAGAGTGGTTGCCAGATAGCTCTGCTAATGCGTGCCTGCAGTGCAACTTGCCTTTCACGGCTCTGACTCGTGGAAGGCACCATTGTCGGTTCTGTGGAGGTATATTCTGCAAAAACTGTTCCAAGGGAAGATGTTTGATGCCCATGAAATTCAGGATTCGTGATCCTCAGAGAGTTTGTGATGCTTGCTATGAGAGGCTCGATCCACTTCAGGGCTTATTGATCAACTACAATAGTAACTGCATGCAGCAAGCAAAACACGATGTCATGGATTGGACAAGCACTAGAAGCTGGTTGAACATGCCTGTAGGTGTATCAATGGAGTACGAGATATACAAGGCTACAAACACAATGAAGAAATATTGTCAGGTGTGTATGACGTTTTACCCATCAAAGATATGTAACCTTATCATCCGGAGCTAAGAATTTTTCTGTTTTGGAATGTGTAGGTTGCTAGATTAAACCCTGAGAGGTCCATCCCATCATCTATTCTCAAGGGAGCGAAGGGACTTGCAATTCTAACAGTTGCCAAGGCAGGTGCAGTTCTTACGTACAAAGTTGGCACTGGTCTTGTGGTTGCTCGCAGATCAGATGGATCATGGTCTGCTCCCTCTGCAATTTTATCTGTTGGCCTGGGATGGGGAGTGCAGGTATTTATCCACTAATCTCATTATCTTAATATATATATACTCAGCATGTACAGACACATGATTTGTTCTTCATGAAAAAATACAAGAACTTTTGCGCTACTCAATAAAAGATATGCTGACAACATTAGGTTGGTAGTACAGAAAACACAATCTAGTTGATAGACGCACCAGGTGACTGGGTAATGAGAAAAACTTACCTCAGTGGTTATGCAAAAATATCCATATAATTACTATGGGATCTAACTATCTACGTATTTTTCTACAAAAAAGTAAAAAACTAGCATACCCATCCTGAACAACTTGTGAAAAAAAAATACATTTGAGCATTATGGCTTGTTACAAGGTTGAGTTGCAAGGTGTAGATGATAGTAGATATTGGAGCAATGTAAAGAAGTGGATGCTTAAGTACAAGTCAGTAGGGTCTTTAATCTCCATTTGATGGTGGCCTTTCTTTGTATATTCCAGATTGGAGGAGAGCTGACAGACTTTATCATTGTGCTTCATGACCGTAAAGCTGTCAAGGCTTTCAGCAGTCGCATTCATCTTTCACTTGGAGCAGGATTGAGTGCTGCAGCAGGACCCATTGGCAGAGCATTTGAGGCAGACGTTCGGGCCAGTGAAAAAGGTTCTGGGATATGCTACACTTACAGCTGCAGCAAAGGTAGAAATTTGAACATTGGCTCTTAGCAGCACTCCCCTTCTAGATTCTTTTTAGATAGAAATTAGTAAGTGATAATTTGATCATAAAAAGGTAATGGCAGTGTTCTTTTAAGAGTGTGACTTAGGTTCCTACTTATCTTCTCCTTCTGGCAATAATTAAAAAGGTAATGTGTACGTACATTTACCCATGAAAAAGAGACCAGAACAGTCTGAATCACCAATTCGTACTACTCACATTGAGATATCACAAGATCTTTCTAACTTACGCATGGTACTCCCTCCATTCCAAATTATAAGATGTTTTGGCTTTTCGAGATACATTGCTTTTAGTATGTATCTAGACGTAGTGTATATCTATGTGCATAGCAAAAACTACGTATCTAGAAAAGCCAAAACGTCTTATAATTTGGAACGGATTGAGTACATTTTAGCGTGTTCATGAATATCCTCACTATGCTTAATGTCATGGAAACTTTTAAAACAGGTGCCTTCGTTGGGGTTTCACTGGAAGGGAATGTGGTGACAACCAGGATGGAGACCAATCTACGCTTCTACGGCGATGCATACCTGACTGCAACCGATATCCTGTTTGGGAGGGTGGAGCGGCCCCGAGCTGCCCAGCCCTTGTACTCAGCTCTAGATGATCTGTTCTCCAAAATGGTTAGCTAGGCCATTTAGATTGGTGTGATACTATGCTGCATTGGTGGTATGCAGTCATGTATATAAACATAAAGTAGCAGCAAAATTTCTAAAAAAAAAAGGAAATATGGCGGTAAAAATGTACAGCTTTTGTTGGATGGTTTCACTACTGATATCAGTCCACATGTAAATGTTGGCAGAATATTTAGTACGCTGCAGTGTGCCTGTGGACTCATTCATGCAATGGAAGATTGATACATTTGTTGGTTTGTTTGTGGCTAGATTATTTGATTCGATGGGGCCATTTGGCTGCAATCACGTGGTATTTCGCTGCAATCGCGTGCCGGCCGCTGCTTATTTACTAGTGAGTGGAACTGTGGAAGACTGATAAAATTTGTTTCTAGCCGTACTGTCCTTTCAGAAAAGGAGTTTCTAGCTGTATTATCCTTTCAGGCTCAGGGAAAGGAAATGGTTTCTGGCAACAGGAGGGATGAGCTCAAAGCGGCGTCGCCCACCGTCTTCCACTTCCACGTTCCGCGGCCTCCAAACACGACCAAGGCCAGGTTTGCAGCGGCCCTGCAGCCCGCCCACGAGCGCAGTGCGCACCCGTCTGTGTCTCATTCCCTCGTGGCCTCGTGGGCAGCGGCAGAAGCATCGCAGCAACCGAAATATTGTTGTCACGTTGAATCTAGCAAAGATTCCTTTGCTTTTCGTGTGGTTAACCGGAGTAAACGATTCCTCGGTCTCACCTTCCAAGGAGCAATTTGGCAGATAAACAAATAAGGTTATTGGTCCTTTCGTCAGTTAGGTTAACATCTTCGCCTTTGCTTCTGCAGCGCTTCCTCGACACAAAAGATGGCGTGACAGCACGTCTTCTTCATCCACAAAGTTGAGTACGGTGCCGTCAGCATGCAAGCACTGAAATTTCACGCCATGGTTTCTCCAGGAACTCCTTTTGAGCCCCAAGAACTCCTTTTGAGAGTTGGAACATTGAGACATTCATGTACAAATTGAATAGGTTCAGTTGGATTGAATTTAACCACCAATACTGGTGCTTCCATCAGGCCAACAGTAGCAAGAAACAACATCACCTGAGCGGTGATCATAGAACAACAATTAATTCGGCGAAAAGAGCATGATAACAGGGAAAATCCATAATTACATTACACAGCAGTAAAACATGTTTCTATTTTCGCAAATCTATCTTCAGCATCCATGACGCTCGGGAACCCCAACAAGAATTACGAAGTGATCTTGGAATAGCACCACACTTCCACAGGAATGTCACTGCAATCATCGTCTGAAAATATAAGCCCGGACCTTCCCTCGCCCCCTGTATCAATGCAATGCAAGAGAACAATAACTCTTAGAAAAAGAGCTCCTCTTCGCAACGACAACGAAAAACAAAAAGGAATAGCTCAATTGCTTAATAAGGGCACTTACAACCTGAAACTATGATCCTTGAGCTGCTGCGTCTCAGTAAACACCGTGGTCCATTGGCACGTCGTCGAAACTCCAGAGACATCCAATGTTGACGCCCTCCTGAACAGCGTCACCGTTGAAAAGGGCGTCGATGTTTTCATATGAGTTACCTTCGATGTAAAGGTAACTGCATGAAGTTCAGGAAAGGCTCATAATACCCAAAATCATCGGCAGTCCTCGCTTCGCCATTGCCAAAAACCATATCTGTCTCCCCAACAATTTCTTCAGGTACGTGTTTCCCTTCAGCTTCAAGGTAGCTCAACTCGTTGACCTGATTCAGCTCAAACGCGTCAAGCCATGCGCTGGACATGGGTGGCAGAGAAGCTGACTCTGGCAACTCAAGCTTGACGACGGAGGCATCATCAGTGCTGCTGCCAGCTGAGATGACATGATCGACAGAGGTGCCGTCAAGCTTCAGCACCTCCTGTGACGTAATCATCTTTCCTGGTCGAGTCACACGCCCCGGTGGCGTTTCTCGGAATGTGTGATGGCGTCAGGGAAGTTCACCTTGGCTTTCTTGCCACGTATGCGCCAGGCTGCCATGTCATAGGCTCTTGCAGCCTCTTCAGCAGTTCTGTAGGTGCCAAGCCAGACTCGGACGCCCTTGCATGGGTCTCTGATCTCAGCTGCCCATTTGCCCCAAGGGCGCCGCCGGATCCCACTATACTGTGTCCTTCTCTTCCTGCTGGCCACTTTGGCAGTATGAACATTGAACCCCACCACGAGATTTGAACTGTTCATTTGGAACTCTGCATGAGAAAATAAAACAGGTTAACGAACAGAAATCCCAATTCTATCCCTTCTGTATCTGAGATCAAAAGGATCCAAATATATATATGCTGGATCTACTGTTGCATTGACAACCATATGTAAGGATAAGAAATGATGGTAACCATGATACAACAGAACCTCTTTGAAGCGCACTATGAAAATGAAAACAAAAGGATATAATAACATAACAATACAAGAGCAACATAATCAACAACTTAAGAGCAGAATAAAGAAGCAGCAAAACTAAAGGATCAGAAAACAAAGCCATGCAGTTTTCACCATCTTCCTCGCTATCACCATCCTCAAATCCCTCGAAATCAGCCTCAAAGTCATCGTTATCGTCTTCACCAAACTCCCAAGAACTCTTCCTTTTCCAGTTCTTCCCACTCTTACTGCTGCCACTCTCTGTCCATAGGTCATCGGCAGTAACCTTCCGCCTAACTGGCGAGTAGAGATCACTGAGAATGGCCCCGCCGCACATGGCAAGAATTCTAGCCAAGAACCTAACAATGGAGATGGGGATACAGGGGTGGGTGATAGCTTCGGCTAATGACTTAATGCAGTTAAGTTTGTGCTTGCATATTTGTACTACAATTGGGTTGTTCTAGGTGAGCTAATTTATTACAATGACAAGTTACTATAGTGCAAGTGGAGTTGGTGAGTGGACAAGTTGGATGCAAATGATGTTCTGCATTGGAATATATGTGGGTGCATGAACCAAATGGAGTACCAGGACAACACGACAAGACATAATAATATTCTGTGCACAAGTTGGCAACTTGTGATGAGTGCAATGTGAAATCCACAAGGTATAAAATATGTTTCCATTTGGCATTACTTTGGCAATTACACACAAAAGAAAAGGTCGAGTTTTTGCTTTTCAGCAATTTGCATAATCGTGATGGGTTGCTTTGTACTGTGAGCTATTGTATCACATAATAAGTAGAATTATTTACTTTTTAAGTATTAAACATGTAGAGTGTGCTGCTAGAAGGCAACTAATAGGTAAAATAATATGAACAGTTTTTATTTGAGTCAAATGCGGTTATTAAATTTGTTATGGACTGTAATCCAGGTCTATAAACTTTGAAACTGCACTTGGGGGTCTTAAAAATTTTAATAGGATTTCTAATGTGGCACTGACAAGATGGAGATGTGTTCAGTTAAAATTTCTTATAAATAGAAGCTTTTCAAATTTGTCTTTTGAGTTTTTTCTTGGATAAATTCTTTTCCTACCATTATGATTTTGCATTTTTTTCCCACTGCTAGTGACAGAGGTGTGAGACATTGATGGAAAATAACAAATGGTAAAAAGTTTGCAGTGGCAAATAAGACACTTTATTCTTCTTTAGTCTGCTTCATGAGTGTTTGGGGGATACTTTTCCTTTTATTTTCTTCTTTCACTTTGATTTGTCAATAAAAATCTCCACACTTGCATACCACATCAATAACAGTAGGGGTATTTTGGAAAGTTTGGACATGGATCACACATTTAACAAGTCAATCCTGAAGTTTCAAAGTTTATGGGCCACAATGATACACCATGATGAGTTGAAGGGCCACTCGTGCATTTCACTCTTTTTACTTATTTTTCTTCCTTTGGTCATCAGTTCATCACAAATGTCTTATAGTTCTCTGCAGGCCTATCTTTTATTCTTCGCTGTAGTACCTTTTATTAAGTACAAGAATGCACTATCGAATTGTCCTTGAATGCTACATGTAAATGACCCTTCCATGCAAATTGAAAGATTATGTCCTTGAATTGTTGTTCATGAACCTCACGTTGTGAAGTTCTAGAGACTCAAATAGAAAAAATGGACCATCCAAACACAAACAGTATAGATTATGTCAACACGTGATTTAATACCTCAAGACCACTGCTCAACTAGATCTGATTGCTTCTATATCTATGTCCAAGATGTCACACTTGGCAGAGAGGATACAGTCAACGTAACGTAACGAATAGGATTGACCTTACAAAACTATAACCAAACATACACCAGAAATGTACAGGCTAAGCAGACCAACATGCAACAAGATATTCAATCAATTGGGCATAAAACACAAGTCTCCTTGACCAAGCAGATACGAGAGAGTACCTTTTATTTCCATCAGCAATATCCAGAATTACACCTGGTCTGGTCAGAGTCCGATTCCACGAGCTCTGTACACCAAACCATAATGGCAGTGGTCTCCGGACTCCGGTCATCGTCGACTATCCTTCTCAGAAGCTGTCAAACAATAATGCACCACACAAATTTGTAGAACGCACGAATGAGAGGAAAACATATGCGAAGAAGTAATCGCCATATACAAAGTAAAATCACGGGCCCTCTTTTGACGCAACAATAGGGCACCGTGAGCAATTTCAGACATAGCTCGTTGTACTGAAAACAGATGGCAAAACTAAATATAAGGAGGTACCAATCGAGCAGAGGGTATGAGAAATACTAATCTTGTAAAAGCTCGAGTCCGCAGCCCATCGGAAAGCCACCATCCTGCTGGGCTCGGTCTGCCACCTTCCTGGCTTCCGGCCAAGCTCCGCGCCCTCTTCCTCCGTGACTAAACCCTGGCAGGTGGCCAGGCCAGGAGGGGCAAGGAGGCAACAGCATCGCCACTTTGCGAGTCCTGGCGAGGAAGGTGTCCGGCAGTGGCCCATGCGGAAGTGATCGTGTGGGTGTCAGGTCGGACGCCCATCCAGAGGCGGCGGCGGTGGCGGAACACCGGCTGTGGGAAGAGAAGGACCGGTCACTGCTGATTACGGATGAAAACAGTGCGGATATTTATTCGATCGTCCGTTGAATAAATATGAACAACTTATCTGGATAGTTATTCGGATATCCGTAATTTTTTTTTTGATACGGATACTAAAATAAATATCTTAGGCGGATATCAAATCTGAATGTAATATCATCGATATCCAGGATTAAAGTATCGGATATATCCGGATATTTAAAAAGCGGATATTATCCGGATATTATTCAAACGACCTTGGATGGAGAAATGATCAAAATAAAATTGTAGATCTCAAAAAGTTATGAAACTTTGTTGTTTACAATTTTTTCGTTTGAAATCATTTAGTGCTTCAAAATTTAAACCGTTCAAACTTTTTTAAATGAAAAACTAGTTTATATCGTCAAAATTTAAAAATTACAAATTTGAACCATCAAACTATCTCAAATGGAAAGTTGACCAAAACAACAATTGTAGATTTTGATGAGTTGAACAAACTTGGTATTCAAAACTTTTCAATTTAAAGTCATTTAGAGTTCATAATACTAGAATTAAAGTGTTGTTTTTATTTGACCAAATTTGACTTGGTCAAACTTGCTCAAATGAGACACTAAATGACCTCAGATGAAAAAACTTTGAATACCAAGTTTAATTATCTCAGCAAGATCTACAATTGTTACATAGCTCATTTTTCTATTTGAGAAAGTTTTATCAAACACTAGTCACAAATTCTTGAATCTCATAAACTTTACGAAACTATGTCACACACTTGTGAAATTTGAACTATATTTTATTCAAACTTTCTCAAATAAAAAATGGCCTATATAAGGATTGTAGATCTTGATGAGATGAACAAATTTGGTATTCAAAACTTTTCAATTTGAGACAATGTAGGGTTAGAAAACTAGTTTATAAGCGTCAAAATTTAAAAATCACAAATTTGAACCGTCCAAACTATCTCAAATGGAAAGTTGACCAAAACAACAATTGTAGATCTTGATGAGTTGAACAAACTTGGTATTCAAAACTTTTCAATTTGAAGTCATTTAGAGTTCATAATACTAGAGTCAAAATGTTGTTTTTTCATTTGACCAAATTTGATTTGGTCAAACTTGCTCAAATAAGACACTAAATGACCTCAGATGAAAAAACTCTGAATACCAAGTTTGATCATCTCAGCAAGATATACAATTGTTACATAGCTCATTTTCCCATTTGAGAAAGGTTTATCAAACACTAGTCACAAATTCTTGAATCTCATATAGACTTTCTGAAACTATGTCACACACGTGTGAAATTTGAACTACATTTTGTTCAAACTTTCTCAAATGAAAAAAATATCCTATATAAGGATTGTAGATCTTGATGAGCTGAACAAACTTGGTATTCAAAACTTTTCAATTTAAGACAATATAGGGTTCGAAAACTAGTTTGTAAGCATCGAAATTTAAAATCATAAATTTGAACCATCCAAACTATCTCAAATGGAAAGTTGATCAAAACAAAATTGTAGATCTTGATGAGTTGAACAAACTTGGTATTCAAAACTTTTCAATTTGAAGTCATTTAGAGTTCATAATACTAGAGTCAAAGTTGTTGTTTTTCATTTGACCAAATTTGACTTGGTCAAACTTGCTCAAATGAGACACTAAATGACCTCAGATGAAAAAACTCTTAATACCAAGTTTGATCATCTCAGCAAGATCTACAATTGTTACATAGCTCATTTTCCCATTTGAGAAAGTTTTATCAAACACTAGTCACAAATTCTTGAATCTCATACTGGACTTTCTAAAAGCTGTCAAATACTTGTGAAATTTGAACTACATTTTGTTCAAACTTTCTCAAATGAAAAAAAATGGCCTATATAAGGATTGTAGATCTTGAATCCATGACCATGACTCCATGAGACCCATGAAGCCATGAGCTTGGCTATTTCTACTCATCTGCCTTGAAGATTGGTGCTTGTATGATGTTTGATGTATGATGTATCTGTATCTTTATCTTATTTGTTGCTTTACTCTTTAGTTTTTCGGCTTAATCTAGATGGATTATGGACTCATAGAGTGGTGTAATGGTTTAACATACGTATGATATATATATATATATATATCTTTGCTTTTATAATATCAGAATAGATATTTGTATCCAGACCTTCTAGAATCCGATTCATACCGTATTCGATACTCATTATTCAATATCAAAATGTAACCGAGTCAATCCGTATTAGTATATGTATCCGAGCGCTATCCGTGTCGAATCCGAATCGAACGAAATATGAAAACAAATATAATATGGTGATATCCATTCGTATCCGATCCGTTTTCATCCCTATTGCTGATTAGGAGACGAGTTGGTTGGGTGCGTCATAATCAATAGTTCAAGGGCCGTTTCTGTAAGAAATCCCCAAGCTCAATAGCTCATCAATGCACAAGGGCCTTTTACTGAATTTTCCTCGGCTACATAGCCTTTCTCCGGACTCCGGCCAGGACCCGGAGGCGAGCAGCGCCGCGTCCGCTCACCATCGACGAGCGTATGGAACCTGTTGGACTTCCAGCGACGAGAGCAGCTGCCGGACGCGGAAGGGACACCCGTTGCTGAAGGATGAGCCGTTGCGTTCTCGTCATTCAGCGTTCCAACGGGCGGTGCGGGGTGGCTTGAGGGACGACGAGATGCCGTTCCCGTCCTCCGCCCGCCGCTCGTGCGTGTTCAGAGGCTGTCAGTCCGTGCTGAAGTGAACCAGGTACCGTGATTTCTAGCACCGTATTCTCGCATTCACGCGCTTCTCTAAGTTCTTGCTTGGTTCCTGTGCTGCATCAGAGCTGTTTGATATATTTCCTCGCTTGGTAGTGGCGTGCATTCAGTGACCGACATGGATTGGCAGGCACAAAATGTAGTGAGGTGCTTTGTTGTGGTACATTCTAGAGACTTTTCCCTGTGTGCCATTATAAAAGATCGTAATCCTCTCTGTGCCCCTGGAAAAATTCAGCGGTCTTCAGCGCCACTACTTTAACTTTTTTGGGTCCTCCATGCCACTTCCGTCAGTTCAGGCTCTAACGTCGTCAAACTACAGGTGTGAAAAGACGAAAATGCCCTTAAGTTCAAATATGTTATTAATTTTTTTTGAGCATCTTAACGACTTCAAATGAAAAAACTCAAAACTAGAAAGTTGTAGATCTCGTCGAGATCTATAATTTTCATATAAAAATTATTTTCATTTAATTTCGCAAAAAAAATATGATGATTTTTCTAAGATATATTAATCATATCAAATCATATTTTTTTTGCGGAATTAAATGAAAATAATTTATATGAAATTATAGATCTCGACAGACTCACAATTTCAGATTTTTGAGTTTTTTCATTTGAAGTTAAGATGTCTCAAAAATTAACAAATCTTTAACAAGGGCATTTTCGTCTTTCACACCGATGATTAACGTTAGAGAGCCTGAAACTGACGAGAAGTGGAGGCTGGAACCCGGTGTTGAGTAGTGGTGAAGACGCTGAATCTGAGAACTGATGCGATCTTTTTATACTTGCATGAAAAAGTCTCTAGATCTATTAGGGAACACTGCGTTTTTTTCTAGGCTGTACCTGTTGTGCTTATTGTTCATAAAGTTTCTCTAGCGATAGTACTTATTTTCTTCATGCACTTCCTGCTTCATGTGCGAGTTTCTTAGATTCACTGCAAATTGGTTACTACGTGGTGGCAGTGATCAAGGGATTCTGTTTGAGCTTAAGCAATTGCCGATGTATGTAACCTCATATGCATCTTAGCATGTCTGGTGTTGAGAATTGACGTGCTAGAGTTTGAACCAAATCGAGTTTTGTATCTTGAGCTGCACCTGAAGTAATGCTGGTTAACAATGTCATGCTCTCGTTAGGAGCCCCAGTTAACTAGACAGCTACAAAAGCATAGTTGAATGTAGGATAATTCCATAGGCAAAGTACGCCTACAATTTCTAATAAAATAGTAAAATAGATAGCAAGGGAAGTGAAAGTGACATTTATATTCCAACTATTTGTTTCATAACAACACACCAGCCAACTAATCTAATATACATTTTCCTTGTGCAAAGCCCTAGTACAGATACCAACACACACAGACACAGTACATATTGAAGAACATTGAATGTAAAGGTATGCTGAAGCTGAAGTACTGAACAAATTAATATACATACAGGTGATGTCTGCGCCATGGACTTAAAATGATACATAGATAGCAGTCCTCATGCAAGTTAGATTAGTGGCCTGCTCTGGTTGGCTTCTAGCATTGAATGGAGGTGGCTCACTACTTCCTTGAAGGATGGTCTTTTGTCAGGCTCATTTGACCAGCACTGCTCCATCAGTTCCCTCCATTGTGGATCACATGATGCTGGCACTGGTGGCCTCAATGTGTTGCTCAAAATTCCTCCTGCAAATTTTCAGTCAGTATTTGGGACCCCAGGTGATGTTAGAGCATAGGATACAGTTCATGTTAACTTCACAACACACCTATAACTCCACCATGGTGCATGCCAGCATATGGTTCCTGGCCCGTGAGTATTTCCCACATTATGATTCCAAAAGAATACACATCAACCTGTTGCAGTATCAGATATATTGGTATAAATATAGGCAGTACAAATAATTGAATAGCTAATATCTCTTCTTCATTTCAGCAACTTTAGTCTTCAGAAATAGCTTTTGAACATTATATAGTTTCCATACAAGCTACGACCCTCCCGAATAACAGAAATAAGCAACTCAGTTATCTTAGTATAAGGAATCACTTGATTCAATGGTTGGCTTTCAGATTATTGGTTGCCATATAGAAACACACATAGGGCCCGTTTGGAGGGCTCCAGCTCGGTTCCTGCACTGTAGCCTCATTGTGGCGGTACTATAAGCGTCTGGCTGGAGCCCCAAAACTCCAGCTCCTCTGTTTCTCAGTTCATTTTGAAGGAGCTGGAGACGTTTTTCATGTGCTACAGCAAGCTGCAGCACCAAACAGTACTAATACAGTGATTTTGGGCCGGAGCACCCAGAAGCCGCGCAAGCAGGGGTCATCATACCATAACACCTTTTGAGTCTTGTAATATCACTGCTTTCCTAGATCATAAAGAAAGCTTGTGAGTCCTACCTTGGTTGATACCATATTGCTGCTCATTTCAAGCATTTCAGGAGCCATCCATGGAAGAGTTCCCCTCATCCCACCTGAGACCATTGTAGGTTTGTTTCACCTTGGACAAACCAAAATCAGATACCTGCAATCATAATTTATCAGTTGCTCCATTTCAGCTCTTTGGAAAAAGAAGAGGCCATTTATACTGTTAACAGACAGATGCCTTGAGAAGAGAAGGACAGAAGCAGAGGATAGGGTGGAGGAACTCTGTATGACTAAAGTTCAGGTGTCTTTTTACATATCCGCTACCCTTCTCTTCCTCACCACTGTACTTATACTCATTACATTAGTTAAGCCACTCTGGCTCCGCTCACTCACATATTGGACTAGCAGTCTCTCTTGGGCCTGCTAGCCTCCTCCCTTAACTCTACTTCTTCACCCATGTGCCCTGCATGTGCTGGTGGACAGCTGTGATGGGGAACAGGGCTGACATTCCCCATCTTATATACATATACATCTCATCATTCATTTTAGATCAACATAAATGATAAAATGATGATAAGGTGGCATACCTTGCATATCGGACGAGATGGATCATTGAGATTCACCAGTAAGTTATCACATTTCAAATCGAAATGAATTATATCCTTAGAATGTAAGTACTCCATTCCAATAGCCGCATCCATAGCAAGAGTAATCTGTTTGCGCCGGTCAAGTAATTTTTGTTTGTGCAAAGGACTTTCTTGAGAGATCCACTTGCCATGAATTCTGTCACAGTTGCTAATGTCCCCCAGGTCCATTATTCACAATCCCGTAGAATGCCAGCACATTAGGATGGTGAAGTTTGAGAGGATTGCTGCTTCTCTCCAAAACTCCACAATCTGCATGATAAAATTGGTAACTGTTTTTTGATGAGCAAAACCTAGGTCACTATGTTCTGGGAGACTTCTACTGACTACTAAGTCTATGATCGTGATTGTAACTTCAATTCATCATGTGAACTAACCAGTTTATCTGTCTCAGGTGATGAATACATGAAGCAGCTGTTCTTTATCCGTTTGATGGCAACATCTGTTCCTCTCCATCTTCCATGGAAGACAGTTCCAAATGCACCAGAGCCCATCTCCTGCAGATCTTGAGGTCCTCATTGCTTATTACCTGTGATGTAAGTAAAACGAATAATCAATGGTACATTGTTGAAAACCGTGTGCAGTGATGGTTCTTGTGCAATATTTCTTGTACTAAAGTTTCTTTGTTCTTCATTTCTTTTAGTTCCTTCCATCCATATCTTTTAGTTCCTTGCGCAATATTATACATATTCCTTTTTCTTAGTGAAACTCGCATATGTGTAGTTGTAATTGAACTTATGTCTTGGGACTGAAGATTCTGTAATTTACAAACAAGCTACACACCTGTACGTTGCTTATAATGTCTCTGTCCAATGTTGCATTTGCAGGAAGGGCTTGTTTATTTTCCCTGGTTTCGTGTACCTGCCATCAGAGGAAATGCAATGGCTGTCTTGAAATTGCTTCGAAGTTAGCTCTCATGAGTACATATGTGGAGGTGATGAGGTGTACCTCAAGCTCTGAGATTGATGATGAAAAAATTTCTGTAACTTCTTCTGATAAAGATCCAATCTGCATATGGTTGCCTTCACCTCCCAGTGAAGTAGACCTAACAATCTGTATGTCCTGCTGTCTGCTATCGGGGAGAAGCTTGCTGTTTTTTCTCCAGAAGCATGCACATGCCTATTTTTTGCAGCTCAGCTGCCTTGTTGTCTGAAGATGTAAAAGGATGTGGAGAACATGCCATTTCACTGTCATAGACCACTGGCATAGAAAGATTATCTTTCTTGGTACATCAGTGTGTATGACATCAGGAATAATATGCTCTATACAACTGGTAGTATTCACTGAAAATACCTGCTCATGGCTGTATGGATTCATCACACTGATGTATGTGTCATCCCACAAAATGTGAGCTCCTGCTTCATTTTTGACCCAGATATCTGGGTAGGGGCAGAGCCACTCTGTCCTGTTTTGTAACTTAGTGCTTCTAATTTTGTTGAGCTGATCTGTATCAGAATAAGGGATGATGTCTTCTTGGGAGCTACATCTTGTGTTTATCATGCTTTCATCAGAACTCGGCCATTTGTGCACTGGTTTTGATAATCTCCTGAAGGAGATGCAAGCATTTCATATACAGATCTTCCAACAGGCTCTTCTGTCACCAACTTTTGAAAGTCGATTGAATTGTTGGATTGGATAAATTGGACGATTGTCTCAGTCTGTTTTCTCGGCAACTTGTTGACAGGACTTGTATGTTGTGTCATGCTGCTGAAGTTTGTACTCAGTGACGGCATCCTCAAGTTCTCGTCTGATGGTATCATCAATTTTGTTCTTGATGATGCACTTTCCTTATCTCTTTCTGCATTATGACCTATCTTGGATATGTCGGTTGCTGTCCTATGCAGTTCAGGAATCTGCCTTGAGGTGCTATTACTACCATTTTGCTCCCTTAGACGGATATGTGAATTCCAATGGCATGGATGAAGCAAGGTTAACATTTCTTGACTGCTTTCTGGTAGGATAGGAGCTCGCCTCGCCTTTATTACTCTGTATAGCACAGTCTTGATTGGTCATTTGTTCCATGATAATGGGAGGAAACGTATGTAGAGGAATCCTGGGATTCTTTTGATGTTTCTGTAACAATATTTTGTGAACGCTTGTTTCTAAGGCATGCTGAAGCTTCTTCTGTCCTGCCTGTGCCTGTCAGTGATCCCACGTCATCAATATCAAACATCAGCTGATCCAGATCACTGGCTGATGCACTCCAGGTCCTCGTGCACTTAATTTCTCACCTGGTCTAGTGTATCTGTATCCATTTATCAGAGCAATGTATTGTGCTTCAGTATCTTCATCTGTTGAGCTTCCTACCACAAAATGTACATGATGCTCATCATCTTCATCAGTAAATAGGGGTACATAGTTGGCCGTTCTTTGCTTTCTTCTAGGACAATGCACTCATCAATCATATGCTGAACATCATCATCGGAGGAAACAGAGATGAGCACATTCACGCACTCTCCTGGCAAATGGTACTTGACTATGTGAGCTTGCCTGATGAGCTTGGTTGTCTTGCTGATCAGTTCTTGCCATGACAATCTTTGACTTATCTGAATCAGATGCTTTTCACCACCAACATACCGGAGCTTTCCATCTACTGGCCTTGGTAGGAATCTGCCACCAAAGTTGCAAAGGAACTTCATTCTAGTTGATCCAGAGTTATATATCTCTTGTTGGTACCTCTTATTTGTTTGCTGATGAGTTTCACTGATTGAAGGAAATGTCAGCAGCTTCTTTGATGGTTTATCTCCAGAAATATTAGCTTCTTCCCCCCAAGGAGTGTAGCTGGTTTTGATGTTCCTGTCATCATAGGTGATTGAAACCAAAGGCTTCCTTGTGTTTGCCCTGTCTTGCATGAATTCAAGAAGCAAACTCTTCTCCAGTCCGGAATGAGTAATTCAATAACTGTGTCTTCCCAGTCGTAACAAAAACACTGGCTTAGGGCTGATATTAGGGACACCTGGTGGCAAAGCTTCTGAGGGCTGATATGTCCAGCGTCAGGACCTCCAGTTCCAATTGTTTGTAAATTACATGGAGAATACACAGCGTTCTTTGACATTACCTCTCAGGTCAGTGTTTGATCTGAGCTGTATTTCTTATTCCATTTTCAGTATCCAAGTGAACTATGATATTAGTTAACATGAACATTATCACATAGCATCACTTATGCATCCTTGCTCAGATAGTTGTAGTTTTGTTCCCCTATGGGCTGAGAGTTATGGACTGGAGATATACAATTAGAGGGTTAGAATAATAACATATAGCTTGTATATATCATAAGATTTTTTTTTGAAATTGTAAAACCATAAGAGAAGGCAGAAAGTCAAAACTTGAAGTTTAGCCATGATTCTTACTACAAGAAGGTGAAGTGTTCGATTCATCTCAAACTGCCCATAATTGTTCGGCTACCAGTGATTATGCAGAGTTTGTCAATATTTATAAAATCAAATAATAATTTCAATCATGTATAAACTTTGCTTCAACAGGTTGATATATAAGGATATTAGTAATCACTTCTACCAAAGGTAACAGTGTACATGGACATAGTTTGTAAAAAATCATGTTCTTTTGAAGGTACAAAATCGCACAAATTGTTGCAGAAGAAAATAAAAGGACAAAAGAAGATAGCTGCTAACCTTCATGATCTCAGCTGAAGTCTGAGAAGCTGACCCTACCTTGAAAGCTTGTTAGCTGGTATGTATCGTCTACCTTACATTTGTGATTCTAGAGAGATTTATATGTAGATGGGTAAGCTCAATTAGAATAATATACTAGTAGACTTCAAGATAGCTGGATTGGAGTTGGGGCAATGGGGTCTTAAACTAAGTCGTCTATGAAGCAGTTAATTGGCTCTGTCCAGACTTCTAATTGGATGACAGCAATGGGCTATATTATTATTATTAGAAGCAGGGATGGGCCTGGTTGAACATTTTTCTTGGTATTATTAGATTATATTATATGCCTCATAGGCAGCCTAGGAGGTCCATTATTCATACAGAACTGGAGTTAAGTGAACTGTATTGTGATACGTCGATCAACTTTGAACATATGCCATCAATATGTATTAGGCAGTTCTCTATTCGTCAGATGAAATGGCATAATTGTAATTGTATATCTAATGAAGAAAGGAACTGAGTTGCCCGAGTATCTATCAATTATGTATCTAAATATAACTGTCAGTGAAACGTTTATGTGAAATAAAGTTGTAATATTTGTCATGCAATGTATATATAAACCTCAACCAGAGATATTGCATTACTTGGGGGCAAGGGCTTGTGCTTTTAAACTCTCATTTGTCACTATCAGATACCAACTTAGACATAGATATTGTGGCTCATTACTGTCACCATATATGATGCAACATTATGTATGCATCGTATTGAGTTCTATAATGCCATTTGTAAGTCCAACTGGACTATTTTCTTATGAAAATATATAGCTTTTTGGCCGTCAGAAGGCGAGAGTGGCTTTCGTAGTTTCGTGTGCATGCAAACTGGACTCTGTAGGCCAAGCTTGAATAAGTTTAGTTACACATTGGTCCCACCATTTTGTTCTTTTTAAGTTGACCTATGACTTCTTGAGTTCAGATATTTTGAGTCATCTGCAGACAGATCATACAGAATCTTTTTTCCTTTGTGTGTTCTTTATTTACTGCTGCCCGCAAATGAGAACCATAAGTAGTTTTACAGGTATTGATTGACAAAGGTAAAGTTTGCTTATTCTTTTGATTCTTGTTAGAGGTGAATGTAAATGAACAAGATTTGGAAGACCTATGTCTTTCATTGATCTCTCGAATGTATTTATACAAGTGAAGGAGTGTCACGAAAGGACACGATTGTTCCCAAGAACATGCCCTTTGGGGACTAAAACTCAACATGCCTAATCATATCCATTAATCATGTGCTTGATGGATGAGATCACTCCGTGAAGAAGACGCATGTTCGCGCTCAGAGCGTCTGCTTCAGAGTAGGTGCGTTCTACAACACGCCCTTGATCGAATCTTCCTTAGAGATCAATGAAATGGAGTTGTAAGTTGAAATTCCTCGAAAACCCTATGGAGAAAAATATGAGGAATACATGGATATGCCATAAAAACTCATTTAAACCTTATTGGAAAATAAGGAGAAATAGCATATTGTTTGTAATGAGTTTAAATAAACCACTATGTTATTGGTATTTCAATAAAAACCTAGTGGGAAAAAAATATTGGAGATACGATATAAAGATAACTCTCCTAAAAACCTTCCGGGAAAAATGTGAGGAAGCGATATAAGTGATATGTCAGCTAAAACTCTATAAAAATCCGATTGGGAAAATTATGAGAAATATGATGGCGACATATTATTGTATTGCCTCTTCGGATAACTCACATGAAAAACATTTTAGGGAAAAACCATAGATGAGTTGTGAGAGCAATATGTCTCTTGATATTTCCCACAAAAACCACGATGGGAAAAATAGAAAATTATGACACATGCTTATATTAATGGCCTGATTATTTAAGTGCGAAACTTGGCATAAAACTTGGCTGAAAAACATCTTTATTTCCATTTGAATTGTTGTGAGAGAAAAACAACATTCGACTAAAAAACAAGCCAAGACCATAATTTAGCGAGACAGGGCCAATATTACCTCATTAAAAACTTGAACAAGAAACCTTGGTGAACTCTGTAGAAAGAAAGAGTATAATGATCTTTGGTATAGGTTAGCATCTAGGGAGATGTCTCTCACCATTCTTATAAGATTTTGAAAGTAGTCCGATACCAATCTTATGTACTTATTTTTTTGAAACATAAAAGTTGATAAGGACTTAGTAAATAGAGTTAGCGAGATTATCGCATGATTTGATTTGCAAGATATTTATTTTCTCCCGCTTTCTCCACATAATTCATGGGGATAAAACGCCTTAGAGGGCAATAATGCTTAGTGACATTACTCTTATGTAACATGTTTGTATCTATGTAACATGAGTAAAATTATCTTTATAGATAATTGTAGGTGATTCAATCAAACCATTGCCATGACTATGTATATAGTTAATCATTCTATGAAAGTCATACACATTCATGTGATGTCTCGTATAGAGCAATAATTTTAGAATGAGTGGTAGAGGTCACCGAAATCGGGAAGTTTATTTAGAAGACTTTTATGAAATAGTTGTTTTCCATATAAAGAATACAAATCTTTTTTTGATAGGGACGGATAAGTAACTTTGACATCCAGTGTATCCAATCATATTAGGATCATGATTTCTCTTAAAAGAATAAACCAAGATCCTTTATGCCACTAAGATATACCCGGATATGTAGCTCTAAAAGATCTAATGGCTATGAGAGTTGAATTTGCACTATGTCTAACTAGTATATTCCTTTACCAAATCACGATACTCCCAGGCCAATGCAATTTGCAAGATACATAAATTACTCCAATGACACTAAGGAATGGAACCTTGGTCCCAATATCTTTTCTCTAATATCTAAGTGGTCTAAATGGATCTTTCTCTCTATTTCAAGAATGAATAGCCAGCCGAGGTTTTGTTATGATATGATTTGTCATATTGAATTTCTCCGATATTTTACGGATATAAGCTTGTGATTGATGCGTACTAAAATCCTAAAGGATGGTACTCAGGTACATAAGCCTAAACAATATTTGGCCTTACCTAAATCCTTCATCTCGCAAATCCACATGATGTAAATTGTATCTCAAGCGATTGCATAATTATTTCGTATCATGATGATATCAAAATGATCAATATGTAATCTTGTAATTATACC